CGTCCGACTTCAGCTCAGGTCACCATCTCTCAGTTTGTGAGTTCGAGCCCCGCGTAGGGCCCTGTGCTGACAGCTCAGAGCCTGGAGCCTGCTTCGGACTCTGTGTCTTCCTCTCTCTCTGCCCCTCCCCTGCTCACGCTCTCTCTCTCTGAAAAATAATAAACATTAAAACTTAAAAAAAAAAAACAAACCCAGCTCCAAGCGCTTCATCCAAGAGGGTGCCTGTTATTTCTGCGATCACGCCAGAGGGACAGAGAGGACAATACGCGTGACGACATAGTGCATTTGTGATTTTCTCCCTCCTGGCACTTGCTCAATGACCAAAGCACGCAGAGTAAGATGGGCAACATCTGGGTACTCTCCGTTCCACACATTTGAGGCCAATAACTCACTGCGACATTGAAAAACAAAACGAAACATCCCCACTTGGTGTATCTGGAGGGGACAAATATTTGCGGACAAATGTCCAAAGCCGTTCCTGCCCCTCTCTGACTCGTCCTTCCCCTGAAGCTGACGCGGACAGCGTGGTTGTGTGGCTTTCTCCCGCTTCGCGCACATGCAGGATTGCACGCGTGTGAGTTTTGTACATTTAGACACGGTCATACGATTTCCTTGGCCAAAGACACGGGAGTGGCAACGATGTGGGTCCCATCGGGCGAAGCTCCAGTGGCCAGCACGTGGCGTGCCACGTTCTCTCCTCCCTCTGGCACATTCTCTGCTGCATCTGCCTGGGTTCCAGAGAGGATGACGTGTTGCAGAGCGTTCAGCTGATGGGCAGGAGACACGAAGCAAAAGTGAGGACTGCACTTTGTTCCTTTACACTCCTGAGACGATGGGCTCGTTTCTCGGCACAGCGTGACCCCACCTGTCCTGGGTCATAAAGACAGCACGTTGTGACAAGGGGATTTTGTGTTCTGTGGTTGCTGAAGCAGACTGCCACACTCAGGCTCTTGAAACAACACGGATTTATGATCACACAGCTTTGTAAGTTCAGGAGCCTGGTGGGCCCGGCCATTCCCTGCTCGGCTTCCCGCAGGCTGAAAGCCAGGTGTCACTGTCACTGGAACTGGGCTCTTTTCCGGAGGCTCTGCGGACACAGCGTTCCCTTGCTCATTCACATTGTTACTTGGCCCTCATTCCTTGTGGTTTAGGACTGAAGCCTCCATGTCTTTGCTGAAGGAAGGCTGGTCCCAGCCCTTAGAGGTCTCCACGTTCCTTGGCCTGTGTCCCCTAAGCTCCACCTTCAAAGCCGCCGACTGCGGGTGAAGCCTTCACACTTGGAGTCTTTCCTGGGTGGATCCCGTCCTGTCCTGGGGTCACTCAGCGCTCTTACTCTCCTGCTCTCCTCTGCTGACTTGCAAGGCTCCGTGGGATAATCCGGGCCCACCTCTCTACTTTCACGTCCTTAATCTTAATTTCCTGTGTGGAGATCTTCGGGGACCCTTATTCTGTCTACCACCCGTGAGGGTAATCAGGTCCTTCATGACGGGATCTCCTTTTTGTGTTTCCACTCGCAAATTTTGGGTTCTGTGCTTGATACATACCAAATAAATATCGTTTGATTGCATGGTCAGTAAGGTGGTCGTGCTAAAGCACTGAGGTGTGTTAAAGGCAAGTGTGAGAGAGAGAAAATGGGCTTACAGAAGTGGCATTTTGGGATGGATTAGGACTGTTTCCTGTGATATTGTGATATAATAAGATGTATATTTTTGGGGTCTCTGTCCCCAGTCCCTGACTCTCTCTTCCTAAATCCCTGGGAATTCCCTGGCTGACAGGACCGTCTTTTGTTCTAAGGAGGTGACTCCTAGTGAGCCCCTGGATGGGGGCTGGTCACCAGAAAGACCACGCCATGATCAGAAGCCTAGACATTTCAGCCCCAGAGAGGGGAGAGGGGCTGGAAATGACGTTGATAGTCTAGCATGTCTGTGTGAAGAAGCCTCTAGAAAAACCCCTAGAACGTAGGGTTCTGAGAGCTCTGGGTTGGTGAACACGTAGAGGGGAGGGGATTTCGGCGCACGTGGACAGGTCATGGACACCCTGCGTCCTCTCCCACCCCCCTCGCCCTCCGCACCTCTTCCAGCTGGCTGCCCTGCATCATGTCCTTCTGTGATGAACTGGTAATCTAACCAGTGACTGTTTTCCTGAATTCTGTGAGCAGCTCAGGGAAATTATCGACTCCGTGGAGGGGGTTGCAGGAATCACTGAGGAAGAGCTGGCTGGTCAGTAGCACAGGTGATGCTCGGGACTTGTGACAAGCGTCCTGAAGAGGGTGGTCTGCGGGACTGAGCCCCTGCTGTGTGGGATCGGACACACATCCACCCGGGGCAGCAGACGCCTGGAGAATTGCTTGGTGGGAAAAACACCACGTGTTTGGTGGCCAGAAGAACTCGGTGAGTGTGGACGTAAAGGGAAACACTGAAGAGAGGTTTTCCTAGCTCAGGTCCCTGTCCTTCAGGAAGAACATAGAGGCAGGCCGGTGGTGTGGACTCTGCAGCCACATTGCCCGAGTTTGAACTCCATGCCTTCTCATTACTGGCTTTTAAATAAGACTCCTGTCTCTACATTCTTTCACCTTCAAAACAGGATTAGGAAAAACAGTAACTTTGGGGCTGTTGTGAGGGTTCAATGAATTAATACACAGAAACCAGCTCATCAGAAGGGCCTCACTGTCACGTATGCAGCTCTCTCTGTAATGTGTGCAGATTGGATAAAGGAAATGTCGCTCTGATGAGTCCACCCCATTTGTACCCAAATCTCTATTACGAAATCTTTGACACTAGGTGGGTGATTTCCTGACCTTGAACTCAGAGTGGAAGGTTGTGGGGAGACATTTGATGCTTTGATACTGTCAGGACCTTGAGCTTCAAGCAGCCAACACGTGGGAGCAGGTTGAGGAATGAGAGGGCATTTGCTTGGCCATCATAGAAGTTGATTTGCTCAGACAAAAGCTGCCTGAATCTTATTCCGGGGCCCTGAGTAAGCTTCCCTTGTGGGGACAGAGATGTCCCACAAGGGCTCACTTGAGGACAGGCTTCAAGCCCTGAGACCAAACTGCTTTCGGGTGCTTTCCGGCACTGCTCAGTAGACGTGAGAAATCAGCATTTCTCCCTTTATTCAGGTAGAAAAATCTGGCTGACAAGACCTGATACAGAGGGGTGACCAAGGAAGGGAGAGTCAACACAGGTCATCAAGATACTGGGGGCAAAGGATTTTATGTGATTTCTAGGCACCTCTTAGCACAAATGCGCCTATGAAGGGGTTACCAAGGTGAGCTCTGAAGGTAGACTAGCTCTGTCTGAATCCCAGTTTCCCCACATTGAACCAGTGTGCCCTTGGGCACTTCACTGAACCTCCTTAAATCTTAGTTCCTTGCCTGTAAAATGGGCATAATAAAAGCGCATGCACACAGGTGTTCGTGAAGACAGCCTTCACCCAAATATCACATTTAGACTAGTGTCGTACTTGAAGCAAGTGCTCAGTAAATACTCATTTGGCCTTTCTCCATCATGATTCCCTCATTGGTAAAATGGGCCATGATACTATGTATGCAAACACACAGGATTCATCCTTTTGACAACTGTTTACTTGATACACACTGTTTAAGCTGTTGGGAATTCGGGGAGGGGGCAAATACAAAGTTATCCACATCGAGCTTACATTTTGGATGGGAGGAGAGGCAGACAGAGGAGTTGAAGACAGACTACACACAATCGCCAAATAAATAAACAGGATAATAGACAGTCAACTGCCTATTCAACAAATGCTCTGTAAATAGGGGTTACATTCTCGGTATCTAAATTCCCTGACCTTTTGAAAGGGGTAAAAAAATAGCAATCCGCAGCGTTGTCCGTGAGGATTAAATGGATTAATAGATGTAATGCCAACTCCTAGGGGATATAGATGGCTGGGAGATAGAAGTCTTTATCCACAGGGGAGGGAGTGGGCTTCTCTCAGTCAGTCACTCCCCCAGGCAGGCCTCCGGGATTGCTCCCTCCTAGGAGTTTGATCTGGGATCTGCCTTTGGCTTTCCAGCTGGGAGCGTGATATTCTCCGCGGAGAGGAAAGAAATGATGAATGTGGGGAACTGCAAATCATAACCTGCAAAAAGATGGCACATCAAGGAGTGAGTGAAGGGGATACATTTTCTGGCTTTTAAAATATTACCTTTCCTGACAGGAGGGACGGTGAAGCAGGGCCAATCCCTCAGCCAGGAATAATGGGGTCTATTTTATTTCCCACTGATCTTGAGAGGCTAAAAGTATTTCCCACTGATCTTTGAGAGGCTATGATAAAAGAAAACAAAACCCTCCAGCCCTCTGGGCTGCAAAAGTAAGCGACCCTGTGGCTATAGGACGCCACAGGCAGTCGGCCCGCCGGACTTCGCCCCTGGGTCCTGTGTGCAGCAGACACCAAAGTGGGCAACGGGGAATTAGCATCATTACCTCAAGAAAATAATTGTGTGCTGCCATCGGAAATGCCCCGGGCCTAGGGGAATTGTCCCCGCCGCTCCTCCGGGCTGGAGGGCTCCTTCTCCACCTTCACTTCGCGCGGGGCGGGACTAGGGACTGGGCGCGGGAGACGCTGGGACCTAGATGTGGCCGGGAACGGGCGTGGGGGTGGGGGGAAGGGGCCGCAGGTGGGCGGGGCGAGATCTGAGGCCGGGGCGGGGCCAGGGCTCGGGCCCAGGTGGGCGGGGCGATGGCTTGGACCGGGGCCGGGCCGGGCCGCAGGTGGGCGGGGCGAGATCTGAGGCCGGGGCGGGGCCAGGGCTCGGGCCCAGGTGGGCGGGGCGAGATCTGAGGCCGGGGCGGGGCCAGGGCTCGGGCCCAGGTGGGCGGGGCGAGATCTGAGGCCGGGGCGGGGCCAGGGCTTGGGCCCAGATGGGCGGGACGATGGCTTGGACCGCGAGGGGGCGGGGTGGGACCCAGGCGGGGGGGCGGGGCGAGGGGGCGGGGCGGAGCCGGGAGGCGGGGCGGCCCCGGAAGCTGGAGAAAAGTTGCGGGGATCCGAGAGCCAGCAGCTGCCGGAGCGGGAGCCGCTGGAGCCGGGACCACCCCGCAGGTACGGAGCGGGCGGCGGAACCGGGGTGTGGGGGGCACTCCAGACCCGCCTCCCGGGCGTGTGCGGGGCGCCGGGCCTGGCGCAGGGGTTCTGCGTGCAGCTGGAGCCGGCGTCGGTCGCGGCGGCCCTTCGGCGGGCGGGCGCAGCCCCTACTTGGGGTTTGTTGGGGGCCCCTGGCGGGGGCGCTTCCCCTGGATGGGAAGACCCTGCGGGGGGTTGGGACAAATGAGTCCGTTCCAGGATCTTCAGATCCCTTACCTGGATCCAGAAGCACCTGGAACCAGACCAGGGTCTGTTCCCGGAAGTGAGGAGGGGGCTTGACTAGGGGAAGGGCTTACTCTCCCTGCGCGGGTTTCCAGGGCGTCTACCCCACTTCCACACCGACCACAGCGTGGCACTTAGGATCCAGGAAGTGGGGCAAGTTACGTGAACCCCTGTCCGCGAAGCACAGGGTCACATCCTGGCCCCGCATTCGTACGGGCGGCTGGTCAAACTGGGGGGACCCCGCGGAGCGCCTGGCTTTTTGCACCTGTTCGCTCCACGCCAGGTCCTAGAGCTGAGCTTGCATCACCCAAGAAGGCGCGCTCGCAAGGCAGCTTAGGGCAAACTTGGCGGAAATCTGGGACCCAACTCCTGACACCCCGGATTCAGTCCGATGTGATTTGGGGGTGTGTTGCAGTAGAGACGGTTGGACTGAGATGCTGGGGTGTGGGGCGAGCAGGTGTGCGTCTGTCTTGCAGGACTGAGCTTCGAGGAGCCCCGTACCAGGGACTGTCCGGCCCTCCACAGAGGGAATGAGCCTTTTGGAGTTGAGGGGATTTTAGGGGCGCGTTGGGCACATGGCAAGGACCTGGAGTGTTCCAGAGACCAGCTGGCATTATGAGTCTTGCCATTTTTATTCTGCCCACGTGGGGCCGGGGTCACTTCGCGGACCTGGCAGGAGGGGCAGGGAGAGGTGGTCCCTGAGATCCAGAAGCTGCTGGCTACACGCGTGCCCTTCCTCTCCCCGCGCAGGCGCCAGTGGTCTGGGGGCAGGCAGCAGTGAGGCCTCACCTCCTCCAGGATGGAGCCTGCGCCTACAGCTTATGCCATGGTCCTGGGGTGCACCGCTGGGAGGAGGAAAAGCAATTATACCCCTTTCTTGCCGCCTTGCAGGGGTGAAGTCTTTGCAGGACCTCATGCATTAAACTGTCCGCAGGGTGCACTGCTTGTGGGGCTACTAGTGTGCCCCCCCCACCGCCCCCTCTGGACTCCTTGATTGTCAAAAGCCAAATCCCCCTTAGTGGAGATCATTTTTCTCTTCTTCCTGAACCTGTTGAAGCTGGGCTAGAGCGCTCTGGTGAACATGGTGGCCAACCGATGTTGAAAAGTTGCATTCGCTTCTCAGAAGTCTGCGCGCACAGCCAGGAATTCCAGAGAAATCCACCCTCCTTGTCTGGTTCCTTGACAGCTCAGTACACTCAGTTGTCTCCAATAGTGTCCCCTAAGTTTATAATCATGCCCCTTTCCACGAACTCCAGAAAAAATAAGGCCCCACATACGCAGACGTGTGGTGGTGTGTAGGGGGTATCTTTCCTGTCTGTTTCATGTGCGTGTATGTGTGTGCCTGGAGTGAGTGAGCCCACGGTAAATCTCCCATCTCTCTCCTCCTCTGTTGCTTTTGATTATCAGTGTAATCTTTAGAGGCAAGATTCAGTGTGTATGTGTGTGCGTGTGCGTGTGTGTGCACACGTGCATGCATGCATCCACTTGTGTGTGATTGTGGATGTGTATTTGTGTTTTTTTTTTCTTATTGTATAAAAAAGTTGCCTGGGGCGCCTGGTTGGCTCAGTCGGTTAAGCGTCCGACTTTCACTTAGGTCATGATCTCGCGGTTCGTGGGTTCGAGCCCCGCGTCGGGCTCTGTGCTGACTGCCAGCTCAGAGCCTGGAGCCTGTTTCGGAGTCTGTGACTCCTTCTCTCTCTGACCCTCCCCTGCTCACGCTATCTATCTCTCTCTCCTAGAAATAAATAAAAACATTAAAAAAAATAAAAAAAAGTTACCTACACTGAAGTTCATCTAGAGATGGGCCAAGGAAACAGTAATCTGGCACAACACTAGAGAAAAAAAACTGGTTATGCTGGATTTATTAACAGCTGAAATTGTTTTGTCCTTTATGGGAGATTTAAGATACTTTTTGAGAGTAATTTTGATGCCATGCTTGCAGACTTTAGAAATTGAACCCTACATCACATGAGAAGAATGTTGTTGTTGTTGTTTTTAACAATTAATTTGTTTCTTTTGAGACAGAGAGAACTAGCAAGGGAGGGGCAGACACACACAGAGAGAAAGAATCCCAAGCAGGCTCCACACTGTCCACCTAGTGCCTGACCTGGGGCTTGATTCCACGAGCCGCGAGATGATGACCTGAACGGAGATCAAGAATCTGATGCTTCACCCACTCAGCTACCCAGGTGCCTGAGAAGAATGGGTTTTTAACAAGCTGTTTAGACAAAGTGGAGCTTATAATGTCTGGGTAATTTATCCTCTGTTAAGCGGGTCTCTCCATATACCTTATTATAAAAAACTAAGTGGCCAAAGTCAGGTGAAAACCAAATCTCATACCTACTACTTGAAAGAGCCGTTGCACAACTGGGTCAACATGTAGTGTGTAAAACCATTCTTATTTTAGAAAATTCTTTCTTTATAACTGTCTTATATTCCCCTCCTACTCATAAATGCAAATAGCTATTCTTGTTCAAGGAGACTGTATAGAAAACAGACACCTTTTGAGAGGTTCCATTTTAAGTCAGCCAGGAGGCCAGATCAGAGAAAGTACTTGTAGAACTGGAAAAATAATGCCAAGTGCAATGGTCACGTGGGAGCAGGATACAGAACCCGTGAGGAGTGTAAGTGTTGCTAAATTCTCTCAGTTCCTGGGACTCTATGAGATTTATTAAGAGCCAGGCATCCTCATCCATGAGATCATGACCTGAGCCGAGGTCAGACCCTTACGTGACTGAGCCACCCAGGCATCCCTGAACTTATTTTCACTTTTATATTAAGTTGATTTATTTATTTTGAGAGAATGTGTGCACAAGTGCGGGAGGGGCAGAGAGAGAGAGGGAGAGAGAGAATCGCAAGCAGGCTCCCGGCTCAGGGTGGAGCCCAACACAGGGCTCCATCTCACCAACCACGAGATCATGACCTGAGCCCGAACCGAGATCGGATGCTCAACCGACTGAGCCACCCAGGCACCCTTGAACCTATTTTTATTTAAATCGGAGGTATTGATAGGAATCACGTTGGTGATAGATGGCCAGATAGATGGTTGTGTCTGCACGTGGATGCGTGGGTTATTATGCACATACACGTTTCCCAGCTCCTGGCTCCCAAGGAGGGCAGTGCCGAGCGCCCGATTGTAGCTGGGCCTCACGGAGGCTGCGTCAGGCTCTCCTCGGAGGCCGTGCCTCACGCAGCGGAATGGTGCAGGCCATCTCGGAAAACGCTGGAGCAAATACAGCCTCATTTCTCATTCCGAACATGGACAGCAGCTGCAGCACCTGTTAATGGAAAAAAGACGGATGGGGTGCTACGGGGATTTGAGATTAAACAGGGGGGTGATGGCTTGTCCAGGCACGAGGCGTTTTATCAGCACACGTCCCTGAGGCTCCGTAACGTGTCCCTAAATCCTGATAGAACATTTTGTGGTCACAGCCAGTTGTGGCACAAAATGAGAACCCACCAGCTGAGGTTTATGACTTTCCATATAAGCTCTCAGACAGGATTTAGCTTATGTTATGCTTGAGGCGGGTGGGACAGAGGTACGAACCACCTCCGGTCCCCACGGGGATGGGCCGCAGGTATCAAGAAAGAGAAGGTGCCTGACATTTGTTGTAAATTGACCTCGGGGAGGTGTAGTAGATGTAGCGATCATTGAAGAAAACTTATGTAAGATTCGTATTTCATTTCCTTTCCTTTTCTGCATGTTAGACTCATGGAGGATTTAAAGGTTTTCTTTTTTTTTTTTTTTTAATGTTTTTGTTTTTTTTCTGAGAGAGAGAGAGAGCGTGAGCAGGGAAGGGTCAGAGAGAGAGGAAAATCTGAAACAGGCTCCAGGCTCTGAGCTGTCAGCACAGAGCGTGATGCGGGGCTCGGACCCACAAACCGTGAGATCATGACCTGAGCCAAAGTCGGACACTTAACCGACGGAGCCATCCCGGCGCCCCTTAAAGGTTTTCTTAGAGGATCCAATCTGAACGTTTTGCCCTCACATCTGGCTGGCTGGGTGTCTACTTATTTTAAATGGAGACCACTCTTGGGGCACCCTGGTGGCTCCGTCTGTTAAGCATCTGACTTCAGCTCAGGTCATGATCTCATGGTTTGTGAATTCAAGCCCCGCATCGGGCTCTGTGCTGACAGCTCAGAGCCTGGAGCTGCTTCGGATTCTGTGTCTCCTTCTCTCACTGCCCCTCCCCTGCTCATGCTCTATCACTGTCTCTTAATAAATAAACATTAAAAAAGTTAAAAAAAAAAAAAAAAAGGAGAACATTCTTGGGCTGCACCAGGGGTTTTAAGGAGTGTTGCCCAGCCCTGCACTTTCTGGGGCTCAGTGCTAGGCCCGCTGAGTGTGCCTAAGCCCTCTCTGTAGAGGGAGGTGTCTGTATGCACACTAATGCACGTATCCACACACACACACTCACACACACACCGCCGATGGATCACAAACACAATTTGTACTGATACCTCTGATTGCAGTAAATCCCCCGGGTTCATTCTCTCCTTCTCCCTTTTCTTATTTTTACCTTCTTTTCCTGACATCGAGAAAGCTGGCTCTCTCGTTCTTTCGTGTGTTTACTTGTTCTTTCCTAGTGTAAGTGGGCTCAGAATTGCTAATTGTGTCTAGCCTCACAAGATCCTGTCGAGAGGCAGTTTCTGAAGCTACTCAGCCTGGATCTTTTCCTCCTCGGCTCCTTGAGTGTGGCCATGCTACTCATTTGTAATATGGTTGGGGTCCTCAGTGCCATTTATATTCCATTCGGGGTTTTCCTACATCCTGACTTCAAAAAAAATTTTTTTTAATGTTTATTTATTTTTGAGAGAGAGAGCGAGAGAGGCAGAACATGAGTGGGGGAGGGGCAGAGAGAGAGGGAGACACAGAATCCGAAGCAGCTCCAGGCTTTGAGCTGTCAGCACAGAGCCCGATGCGGGGCTCGAACTCATTAACCAGTGAGATCATGACCTGAACCAAAGTCGGACGTTTAACTGACGGAGCCACCCAGGCGCCCCCTACTTCCTGACTTTTTAAAATTGTGTACCGGGGCGCCCGGGTGGCTTAGTCGGTTAAGCGTCCGACTTTCGCTCGGGTCATGACCTCGCGGTTCGTGGGTTTGAGCCCCGTGTCGGGCTCTGTGCTGACTGCCAGCTCAGAGCCTAGAGCCTGTTTCAGAGTCTGTGACTCCTTCTCTCTGACCTTCCCCTGCTCAAGCTGTCTCTCTCTCTCCTAGAAATAAATAAACCATAAAATAAAATAAAATAAAATAAAATAAAATAAAATAAAATAAAATAAAATAAAATTGTGTATACATATTTGTTTTTAGGATATTTGAAATTCTGAGTCAAAGCTACCCACAACATCTGCCAGAGGGAGTATGCCTTCTGCTTTCGTCTCAACCCCCTCTTCCCTCACCCCCTTCTTTCCGCGCCACCCCAGCCCTTCCATTTCCCGTCCCTCCTTCCTATGAGTATTTGGCACCAATAAAGCAGATGCCTGCGCTTTCTCTCACATCCTCTTCATTCTGCCCCTCCCCCCAAGGGGAGTGTATTCCAGATACTCACTTGTACACTTCACAGTATGGCCTGGAAATTACAATTCAGTTCCTCATTCCTTCCCCTCTTCCTTTTAAATAGATTTTGGTTTTTAGGACAGTTATAGGTTCAGAGCCAACTGAGTGGGAAGTACGGTGACTTCCCATAGACGCCAGCTCCTGCCGGGCAAAGCCTCCCCCAATACCACTCCCTCCCCTGAGCCCATCCCCTGCGGTAGCTGCCTAGCACCTTGCTTGTGGGTGTCCCACAGGTCATTCAAGCACTCCCCTTTGTCTGGACAATTTTATTGTTTCCAGCATTTTGCAGATACAAATAGTGCCATAAGGAGTCAGCTCGTGTGCACGTATTTTTATATGTTTGGGGGGATATCTTCAGGTGGCTTCTTAGATGTGGGGTCTCTGGCTCAAGACCTCAGTGCATAAGCAGTTTACCTAAGAGTTGCCACGTTTCCCTCCAGAAGGGCCGTGCCAGTCCTCCCTCACCATCCACGTACGAGCGTGCCCGTTTCACGACAGCCTCGCCAGCAACGTGTATTAGCGTGCTTTGTAATTTTTGCCAGTCCATTAGGTGAGAAGTGGCATCTCAGTGTTGTTTTAAGTTTCACCTAATGATGAGTGAGTTTGAATACTTTTTTTGCATGTTTGAGAGCCATTTTCATATATTTTCTGGTGAATTCTCTGCTCACATGTCACATTGCTATTTCAGTCTGAATCTGAGATATTTCAGTCTGAATTTGAGAAGTCCTAATTTCAGCAAGAGTGGAACTTCTTTTTCAGTGGCATGTAATTAGGCTCAGGTTAAGTATTGGTATTGAGCTCTGACGGTGCCTTGAGAAACTTCCAGCAGTGGGGGTAGCAGTGTGGTGCTGGGGCCCGGCACTATTGTATTAGAATTGGATTGATCTTGGGGCACCTGGGTGGCTTAGTCGGTTAAGCGTCCAACTTTCGCTTAGGTCATGATCTCATGGTTCGTGGGTTCGAGCCCCGCATCGGGCTCTGTGCTGACTGCCAGCTCAGAGCCTGGAGCCTGTTTCAGAGTCTGTGACTCCCTCTCTCTCTGACCCTCCCCTGCTCACACTGTCTCTCTCTCTCTCTCTCCTAGAAATAAATAAAACATTAAAAAAAAAAAAAAAGAATTGGATTGATCTTGGTACTGAGAAGTTTGAAGGAGGCCGTGGGCAAATTCATTCCTGGATCCCTGTCACAGCCCTTTCTCCCGTCACAGAGGCCTCTCAGAACTGCGAGATCTCACGGGATGGGGGCAGAGGGACTAAGAGTGAGGACGGACTTCGGGCCACGTGCTTGTGAATCCCAGCCACCTGCAGAAGCGCGTGGGCCGAAGCTTGTTCTCTCTCTCCATCTGGTGCAGGTTAGCCCTGAACCGAGACTTTGTCCTTGAAGCCCAGATCAGAGGCCGAAGGAGAACTTGGAGATGAGTGTCTCAGTCTGTGACTCAGTGGTATTTCAGGTCACGTGTGTGCACCACGAGAACCACATGCAGATCCGGAAGCCACACCAGGCCTTGGAAAAGCCGGCCCACAACGCTTTCACCCTCAGAGGTGAGAACCAGGCCAGGCGCAGACATACCCACGGCGGCCCCTGGCTGGCCAGCCCCAGTGGCCCGAGGTCCTGGCTGTGGGCTCCAGAAACCCCCTTCAGTGCGGTGGGGTTTGTGCCCCTGTGTGCGTAGTTCCTAGAAACCACTAGAATACACTTTCCGTCACACGGGTATTTCTGGCCATGTCTTGTGTGCAGATTCTGGTTACTTTTTTCCTCCCTTCCTCACCCCTTCCCTCCTCCCTTCACCCTTTCCTCCACTCTCTCTCCCTCTCCTCCCCGCTTCTCTCTCTGTTTTTTTCTGAGAAGCAGTTCTGATCCTCACGGAGCCCACAGACTATATGGAAGGAGCGAGAGGCACATGCGAATGTTAACAGATATTCTTCCCCGGGCCAACGCGCAAGTTCTGAGAAAATGAGTCTGGAAACAAATAGAACTCCATTTCAGTAGCTCTGTTTTAGGAATTGGAGAGTGAACTGTGTGGTGGGCTTCAAGGGACGTAGACCCTCTGAGCGAGGGGCTGTCAGGACATCCACACTGCTGTTCAAGTCCGCAGGGAACAGGGTGTGGACAGGAAGTGACGTGAGAGAAGAGAGAGGGCCGCGCACTCCGGGCGGATGACCAGAGGAACCCCCCTGGAGGAAGAGGCTTGGCGGGGTGGGGGTGGGGGTGGGGGGTGAGTAGGCTGGCTTGATGAATGCAACCTGGTGAAGCTCTACTGCGTAGACTGGGATTGGGATAGGACGTTCCAGTCCCTGGAACCTTCAGCATTTTGAAGACCCGGAACTGCTTTTCATCCGCCCGTATTACTTACTTCCTCACCCCAGCCCGTAGAAGTCGTGGTTATGGGCCCCATTTTCTGGATGAGCAAACAGAGGCTCAGAAAGGCGATGTGACTTTCACAAGGGAGCAAAGCTAAGGAAGGCGAGTTTGAGCCGAGCCTTTCGTCTCCAGAATGTGACTTCCCACCGGCGCGCTGTGCTCAGAGAGCCTGGCATCTTGAGGCACGTAAGCTGCAAATGAGAGGCAGACACACACTCCTGGATTCATACAGGGAACCCCCAACCAGCCATAAACATTCATTAGTGGTGCGTGTTTTCACATGGACAAGTCTTTAAAACATAAAATGGAATAAAAAATGTAAAAAGCAAGTCGCCGGAGCACACCTAGAACAAGATATCATTGTACACAGTTTAAAGCATGTGAAACAATTCCATACATTTTTAAGAAGACGCAATTCTGTAGCGAAAGTATAGAATGAAATATAAACGTGGAAATCATACAGGCGCTGGGATAGCGGCTCTCTCCGGGGAGGCCGGGGGGGGGGGGGATGGGGTGAGGCGGGGGCTCCCAGGAACTTCAGCACGTCTGGGTCTTATTTCCCGAGCTGGGTGGGGACGGGGTGTTGTGTTTTCCTGCACTATCTGGCTGCCTGGCATATATAATAATCACAATTAGGCGATGGTTTACAGAAGTCAGTCTGGTATGTTTTCTCTTGGAATTACTCTCTCTCTAAGTCTTAAGTTTGCTTACTTGCTTTTTGAAAAACGGGGGTGTTACCCTTGAGGGGAAAGGAGACAAGGGTTTCCTGAACTGACTGGAGACATAGATGAACTAATGCTTTGGCTCAGCTGAGCATGTGATGCCCATTACATACGTGGCCCTCTGAGCCGACTCTTGCAGCCGTGGTCCCCACCCAGTTGGCTAGGGCTTTCCTAGAGGCCGAAGAGAGGGAGTCTCTTACTGGCACCTGCTTCTGGTTGAGTTAGGCTGAGGATGTTGTATATAAGTGTGTTCACTATCCCCAACTCAAAGAATCAGAAGCTGAGCTGAATTCCCAGGTAACTCCAAACATAAAACCCAGGAAGAGGAACAGTAACTGAGGCCAGGAATAGAGAGCGCCATTCTTTCATTCCTCGAACATTTCCTGTGTGCCTATGGTGTTCCAGGAATTCTAGACACTGGGGCTTCGGCAGGAAGCCACAGAAATATAATGCTTGTCCTGGTAGACGCATCTTCTGCCTCAAGGGAAACATCCTGTATTTCTAAAGAACAAGAAAGCAGGCTTACAGAGACAGTAATTCCGAACACTACTTAAACCATTGCCAAAGTAAGTGTATGTATTTGGAAAGTTTGATTTGCTTGCAACTAAACAACACACCTTAATTTTCATTCATAGATTACATGCCATTTATTGAGCACCTACTAGGTGCCAGCTCATAGATGTGTCTTAATCCCTGAGGTCGCGGAGAAGATCCCAGGGCTGCCTGTCATTGGTCTGATCCGAGCTGGAGGCTCACCCCTGAACCAATGACTGTAACCCGGAGGATGGGATATTCTGATTGGCTGTGCCGGCTCACGTGTCCACCCCTAGATCTTTTGGGCTCCAGGCAGACCGCGCAGACCAAATCATAACGGGTGGTTTCCGGAGAGAAGGCAGAGGGTGGCCCAGAACCGGGAGGATGCGAGGTGTTAGAAACCCCTTCCGAACCAGAACTCGCTGCTCGGCCTGTGCTCGCCGGGCGTGGCTCCCAGCCAGGAGCCCCGCACCCCCAGGAGGGGTGAGCGGCTCCCTTCCCCGGGTGGGTGGGGGGCTCCTCTTGATGCCCGGGGTGCTCACACAGGTGCTCACACAGGTGCACGCACAGGTGCTCACACAGGTGCGCGCTCGGGTGCTCACACAGGTGCGCACTTGGGCGCTCACACAGGTGCGCGCTCAGGTGCTCACACAGGTGCTCGCACGGGTGCATGCACAGGTGCTCACACAGATGCGCACTCGGGTGCTCACACAGGTGCTCACACAGGTGCACGCACAGGTGCTCACACAGGTGCGCGCTCGGGCGCTCACACAGGTGCGCACTCGGGCGCTCACACAGGTGCGCGCTCAGGTGCTCACACAGGTGCTCGCACAGGTGCATGCACAGGTGCTCACACAGATGCGCACTCGGGTGCTCACACAGGTGCTCGCACAGGTGCGCACTCGGGCGCTCGCACAGGTGCTCGCACAGGTGCGCGCATCGCTGCAGGGCGCGGAGCCGGTGCCGTCCCGGCTCCTGCAGGTCAAGGTGCGTCTCCTGGTGAGGACGCGTGACGCAGCCCCGGCCGCTCTCTGCACAGACGCGAGCCGGTGCATTCGTGGGGCGCCGGGCAGACGGCCAGGCCCGGTCGGAGAAGCAGACGCTGCTTCCCGCCCTCCCTCGGCACCCCTGCTGTTGCGCGCGGCCCGCGCCTGCAAACAGCGGACGTGCTTTGGAAGCCAGAGGTTGGTTACGAGCCGCGCGGGCTGAAGTCCAGGTCTCTGCGGAGACGATCCGTTTCATCGAGCGCCGCGCCCGCCTCGCGGGCTGTTCCCGAGGGTCGCGCCCAGCTGGCGAGGAGGCCCTCGGGCGTGGGCGCACGGTCCCTTCCTCCGGGTCGGAGCGGGATGCCAGGTGGGGTCTGGAACAGGCTGCCCATCTTCAGCCCCGGACCTTAGTGCCACGTGCAGAATTCTTCCAGGCGGGGTCCCGGACTGGCGGGCGGCAGGGACTGGGTCGCGGACGTCTTGCCGGGCCTTGAGGGCGGCCGGTGTTGATGGAAAATTGAGGTCCTCCGACCTCTGGGCAGAGCTCCTGACCTTCCCGGTGCATACGGAGAGCCTGCAGCTGGCAGAGCAGGTGTGTGTGTGTGTGTGTGTCTGTGCCCTGTGCCCCAGGGACCAGAAGAAGCCCACCCTGGCTCGGTGAGGCTGGCGGCCTCACTCCTCCGCGAGCTGCTCCCCAGGGATGGGAGTGGGGGCAGGGGGGCCTCCGGGTTAGGCCCCTCTGGGCTGGAATCCCAGCTGGACACTCGCAGGCTCCCCAGCTCTGGATGAGTCATCCCCTAGTGACTCTGCTTCTCCTGCTGTGTACGGATGCCCAGGCCTCCCACTGCGTAAGGCTCACCCCGGCCGTGTGGACACAGCGCACCAGGGCCGAGCACGTGCTGCTCCCGAGGTGTCTGCACTGTAGCCGGAAAGTCAGCCGTGAGCACAGTGAAGGGTGTGAGCCTGGGAATTAGCAGCAGTCGTCAGCAGGGCGTAGGCGGTGAGGAGAGCTCGGCACAAAATGTGCTTCAGGAAGGAAGGCTTTGCTGAAACATCTGGACAGGGAGAAGGAGCCCGCCGCGGGGAGTGAGGGAGAGCAGATGGCGGGCCAGGCCGCGACGTGTAAAGGCCCTGAGGCACAGCGTTGGACGGGCCATCCGTGTGAGGAGGGATCTGAAGGAGCCTCAGAGCACAGAAAGGCACCCAGGAACCCTGCGGATCCGCGCAGGGCCGCGTGTCTAATATTAGGGAGTCTCCCTGCTCAGAGATGTTGAACGAGGCCTGGCCCTGTGCGAAGGCCGAGGTGATACTTGGGCGCTTTCTTGAAGGCCTGAAAAGATCTCTCCGTTTTCCTTGTGGGTTTATGCTCACTTTAGAGTTTTTTTAATTTAAAGTAATAATAACAAAGTTGTCTGCCAAGGAGATCTGGGGTGTGTGTGTGTGTGTGTGTGTGTGTGTGTGTGTGTGTGTGTAACTCACCACTAGGTGGCTGGTTCAGTTTGCCTATAGTTGTATAGTTTCTTTGCCGTGACCCTATGCAGTAAGAGTTCTTAAATAAGGTCAAAGGCACAGCACCGATCAGGGAGACAGGCCGTGCGTTGTGATTTCACCGCGACCGCGGGCGTGCTGTCTCTTCTACACGGGGGGTGCCTGCATCGCCAGAGACCCTGGCTTAAAAATACTTCGGTCGTGGGGTAGGTTGGCTCTGGCTCCCTGTCATCACACAGCCGACTTCAGGGGTCACTTAACGAGAGAAAGGAAGAAGAGAACGTAGCCCACCCTTTATAATTTTTAATCCGTAATTACACAATGAGATGCTTTAATTATGCAGATGTGCATGTTTTTTGATCCACACAGGCGAGGTCCATCCAGCTCTTTGCAAATGTGTATCACGCCCTTCCCTTTGCTGCCTACATTTTATTCACAACGCCAGAACTTATTATCTGAAGAGGTGTCTGTCACTTTGATGACGCGCTTCCTGCCGGGGGTTGCTGCCTGGGGGTTCCCGCACCCCCAGCACAGGGCTGGCAGCTTGTTAGAGCTCTTTAAATATTTGTCGACTTGCATTGCACTTGAAACACTGTATTAAAAATCTTGCACCCACCTGCAGGGTTCTTAGCGGCGAGTTTTAGTCTTACCCTGGCAATATATACATTTGCATTCATATGTAATAAATACATTGCAGCTTTCCTCTAAATGGGAACAAAAACCTTTATGCAGTATTTGGGCTCCACTGGGTTTAGCCAAAGGAACTTTCACCCGCCCTTGGGGTTGGGGTGTCAGGATCAATGTTAGGAGCTGTTTGCCTGGAGGGAAGAGAAGTGTCACTGAGCCAGCCAAGCGACCTTTTGAATTGCTGGGGATCCGATTTAATGCTGATTTGCACATCCGAAAGTTTGCTTGGATTTAGACTAGGAAAGGCCAGTTCTTCTCTCTGCGAATTTGAGAAAGATTTGATCTGGAATGGATGGGCCATGGCAGACCGCGAGGGAATCCTGACCAAGCACCTCCAATTCAGGCTCTTCTCCAAAACCTCTCCATCCTCTCTTTTTTCTTTAAAAAAATTTTTAAATGTGTTTATTTTATTTTTGAGAGAGAGACAGACAGAGCATGAATGGGGGAAGAGCAGAGAGAGAGGGAGACACAGAATCCGAAGCAGCTCCAGGCTCCGAGCTGTCAGCACAGAGCCTGACGCGGGGCTCGAACTCATGGACCCTGAGATGATGACCTGAGCCGAAGTCAGACGCCCAACTGACTAAGCCACCCAGGTGCCCCCCTCCATCCTCTCTGACCTCCTCATGCAACGTCCCTGCTTCTGGGTTCCAGCCACGTGGACCTCTGGGGGGTTCCGTGAGCCACCATGCTGCTTCCCATCTCGAGGCAGCTTGTCATTGTTGTGCCCTCTTCCGAGAGCGTGGTTTGCCTGGACCTCTGCGGAGCTGGCTTCTCCTTCTCGGGGGTTCCACGCCCCGACACCCCCTTTCTTTTTTTTTTAATGTTTTATTTATTTCTAGGAGAAAGAGAGAGAGAGAGAGAGAGACAGCGTGAGCAGGGGAGGGTCAGAGAGAGAGGGAGTCACAGACTCCAAAACAGGCTCCAGGCTCTGAGCTGGCAGTCAGCACAGAGCCCGACGCGGGGCTCGAACCCACGAACCGCGAGATCATGACCTGAGCGAAAGTCGGACGCTTAACCGACTGAGCCCCCCGGGCGCCCCCGAGACTCCCTTTCTTAAGTGCCCTCTCTTCCATCCCAAAGAGGCCCCATCCGAGGCAGTGTCTCCCACAACAGCTTCGTTCTCCGAGCTGCGCTTAGCATCCCGTGGGGCCATCTTATTGCTTCTTTATTTGGCATCCGTGGCCCTCCCTAGAACGTCAGCTTCACGCAGGCAGGGACCGTACCCGAATTCCTCAGCGTTTACCCAGGGCCACAGACAGGGCTCCACATGCAAGCATCTGTGGAGCCGGCACCCCTTCAGCTTCCCGTTCCAGCAGTGAAGTCATGTGCTGCGTGGTCGGAGGTAGTAACGTGGGATCTGACAAATCCTGTCAAACCTGAGGTGCTCCAGGTCAGGGCCCCCGTTCCTTGACCCACCAGGGGGTCTCCTCTGTTGTCCATTCGTGCTCCTTTATCTGCAGGGTGACGATTTCAGGAGGGCAGGTGTTGTGGGACTGATTGGCTTGTTGGTGCCTCCGCCTGGCAGGTGGGTGGCTGGGGGTCCCGCTCTGGACCTTGGGTTTCCTCATTAGGGCCTTTCCTTTAGGATCCACGCGGGAGAAAAGGTCAGCAAGCAAAGAGAGGTGTTAGCAAGACCCTCTGACTCTACGAGAGTCGTCTCTCTGGAATACCTTCTCCCTTAAAATCTGAAACCCCAGGATGCTCAGTCCTTTAGGGAAGAGGCAGCAGATTAACGTAGGAGCCTCAGCCCTGGTGCATCCAAACCGTCACGAAGGCACCTGAGGGCTGGGGACTCGTCCCTGGTCATCTGACAGCCTGACTTCCGGTTCTACTTACCGGGGCTTAGACTTGGGACACAGCATGATTTCCTGGGGCCTCAGTTCCTACGTTGTCCTATACCAAGGTTTGGTGCGACCAATTCAGAGACACTAAAGAGAGGCCGCTTCCCTCTTTCGGTAGAGATTCTGGAGGACTGGATGAAAGCTGTGTGGCAGAGGGTGTGACGTGAACCTGAGCCAGGCGCCCCCCGACCTCCCCCCAAGGCTTTGCAACCCAATGGACGTCAGAGTGCTGGGAACTGACCTTTTCTGCCCAAAGGATGCTGCTCATCCACGAAATAACGTTGATCTAAAGCAGTGGTTATCAATGTGGGGCTCCAGGGACCCCTGGGTTCCTCAGATTCCCTAATCGTCAGCAGTATTACCAGCGGCGCATGTTACTTGCTTTTTCTTTTCTGGCTTATTCTTCATGTGCATACAGTGGAATTTTCCAGAAGCTGCACAATGTGCAGTTATCACAACGAGCTGTATGCAGCCACTGATGTGAGGATCCAATTGTCTTCTCTTTGAGTCGGACTTCAGAGACTTGCAGAAGTGCAAAACCCTGCACCTCGGTGCACAGATTTTTTTTTGTTTTTTAAAAAAGTTATTTTCCATAAATATGTCATTTATGTTAACATCCCATGAGTTTATTATTGTTCTTTTTTATTTTTTATTTATTTTTTATTTTTTAAATGTTTTATTTATTTCTAGGAGAGAGAGAGAGAGAGAGCGTGAGCAGGGGAGGGTCAGAGAGAGAGGGAGACACAGACTCTGAAACAGGCTCCAGGCTCTGAGCTGGCTGTCAGCACAGAGCCTGACGCGGGGCTCGAACCCACGAACCACGAGCTCATGACCTAAGCGAGAGTCGGACGCTTAACCGACTAAGCCACCCAGGTGCCCCCTTTTTTTTAATGAGGTAATAATTCTTTTTAAATTCTCAAAAAAAAAAAATCTGAAACCTGAAATAACTTCTTAAACTTGAATTCCACGGAGGCACACGGGAGTGTCCAGCATTTGAGTTATTTCTAGGGTTCGTACAGGGCACACCTCGGCTCAACTCCTCTCAAAGTAGGATTTTTCCTTCCTTGTCTAGAAACATAGGCCGCCGTCTTGAAGGTAGCGGTAACCGGGAATGCTTGTCATCTGTCGGTGCTGTGGCTCTGAGTCGCCTCTTGCTGGGGTCCCGCCTGAAAGTGGGAGAGAGGGACCTGTCACTAAGGAAGTTTTGGGGTGTTCTTGCAAGGCTTCCTGACGCACCTCCCCCTGCAGGCCCCGCCCCTTTCTCTGGCCTGGCCTCACTGCTGCTTGCAGAATCTTCAGGTTCCATTTTGTCACCTTGTATACCTTCGTGCTCGCTAGCCGGTTATAATTATGTGCCGGAACGGGGGGAAGAAAGGGGAAAGTTTGCGGCTTAATGAGAAATGAGATTGGGCAGATATTCCTAATGCTGCTTAGAGCGTAAATTCAATAATTCAATGTTGGTGGCTTCATGCTGGAGAAAAAAAAGCCAGAGGAGTTAGATTCCATTTTGCAGCTGGGCCGGATTGCACGGCTCAAGTCATAGGATCAGATAAAGCATTTCCCTCGCCAAGCAGGCTGATAAAGCCCCTAATAGGATTTGCTGACCAGAAAAACCGCAGACTGAGAAGCAGCAGCCAGATTCTCCTTTCCTGCCATTTGTCTGTAAATTTCACACGTGACGGATGCTGTGTCGGAAGTTGTATTGCAATTAGAACAGAATACGGTATAATATTTGAACTCAGATATAAAAAAGGACCGTGTGTGTGTGTGTGTGTGTGTGTGTGTGTGTGTGTGTGTGTTGTGTGTATGTGCACGTGAAAACTCTGGCTCATTCTTGATTTCTGTAAGAAACGCAATCTCTGATCCTGATTGTGATCACAGCGGTTGTGTGTGGCTATAAATACAGCCGTCGCTGAAAGGTTGGGATGTGGGGAATGAACTTTGAGTGGAGCGAAAACAGCTAAGACTTGCCTTATTAATAGCTCTTAGAAAGAGATGCCAACGTGTACTTTACCAGTGATGACGCCTCTGATGACTACGAAAAGTGCTCTATGTGGCTGAAGGACAGATATTCTTGGAGTTAATTATAGCTACTCATAGATTAGAGACACATTGTGCTTTGCTTTTTTTTAATTCTAAAGAAAATGAACTGACGTGAGGAAATCAAAAGATCAGGATTCAAGTATGTGGATGTCGATTGGTTACATAATTACTTACATAATTAACATCAAGGATAAAGGAGCATCTAGTGGCTGCTTTAAAAACTATGCATCACACCCTGTACTTCATGGTTAGTAGGTTTTGCTTGTGAGTGAGCAACTCGTAGTAATGTTGGAGGCAGAGGAAGGGAGAGCCTCCTTTTCAGCGAGACCAGAATATAAATTAAAACACCTTGGTGTGTTTTTAAACTCTTCTCTCTCTCCCAGTTATCAGATCGTGGATTGCCTCAGCATCAGTTTTAGTGCTGCTGAGCGTAAGAGCGATCCAATCTCCTTTTTAATTTCAAATGATGAAATCTCAGGGCATTGAGATCTCCTAACCCAACACATACTGCTCTCTGTCAGCAATGCTTTCACTGCAAGTAATAGGAAACTCAGGTAACTTAACTCGCTTGGGACAGTGCTTTGTTTCGCTTACTTCGCAAGATGTCTGGATCTGGGCAGCTGCTGGCATCTGTTTGGTTTTTCATAGATATTAGGCCCTCAAACCATATGACCGGCTCTGCCTTTCCCTCGTGGTCACAGAATGGCTGCCTAAAACCAAGCATTGCAGCCGTATCCAAGGCAGGAAATAGAGTGAAAGGAGCCAAACCCAGTGACACTTGTCTCTTTTACCAGGACCGTCAAGCAGTTCCAGAAGCCTCCAGCTAATACCTGGCTCTGTCTCACTGGTCAGGGCTGTTCCACACAGGCACCTGGAAAAGCTAGCGTTTACTTTTCCAACAGTCTGTGGGGCTCACTCACTGGATAGGTGAGTGACCGCTTCCTGGCACCGTAGTTCCTTTGTGATGATCAAGGTCAACGTCCTTAATGTCAGAGGAATTGCAGGGTTTTGAGGGAAGGGGTATTAAATAACCAGTTAAGTGACTGAGTACTGAACTGCAGTTTGCACACCGACATGGGGGAGGTGGACCAGAGGCTTCCTGGAGTCTAAGTCTTGAGCTGGCGTTAAAGGATGAACGCCAGCCAACCGGGTGAAGAGAAGGAAATGACCATTCTCAGAAGGACAGCGTGGACAGACAGGACTGCGTGGCCCACGAGCGCCGAGGTCGGAGGGCAGGCGAGGAGGGGCCTCCGCGCCCCCAGGTCAGGATGTCAGTGTCGTTTCCCAGCACCCCCCGGAGCCGCTGCTGCCTGCGGGAAGGACCACCCTCCTTCAACGTCCCTTCGGGGCGCACGAGTCACCTTTGCTGACTCTTCTGCAGTGATAAGTGCCAGCCCTTGTGCAGACGATTGAGTCCTGCTGGGTCTTCACTTGCCTGGAGCTTTGCTGGGACCCCAGGACTTCTCCGCTCTCCCTTGGGCTTGTCTCCGGAAATCTCGGCCCAGTGTCACTGAGTCACTCCGCTATCTACCCCGCCTCCGGTTCACGTCTCACGGTTGGCTGCAGTCGGCCGTGAAGGCATCGAAGGTGTTGACGTGACTGGTGGCGATGGATGTTACGTCCTTCCCATAAGACTAACGTATTAACCACCAGTTCAGCAGCGGGTGTTTTCTGAACACCGACAACTTGCCCATCCTTGATCTCCTGCTTGCGGGACCAGCCAGCAGATGCGTGCGCAGGGGGGCCCTACGGAGATTCGAATGGAACGAAGGTGTGTGGTCGGTGTGCCTGCGGGTAGGGAGGCCGCTGACATGTCTTACCTAGTGGTTGGTATTTTATTTTTCGTACTGAGGGCTAGGATTACCACCACGCCTAAACTCTTTTTTCCTGAAGCCAACTCATGAGGCTAACGAACTTCATTAGGGTTCTGAGACGTAGAATGTCTGGGATTAAATGGCGTATTTTGGCCACGGCATCTGCGTACTTCAGCCAATATATTTTCGGTGTCTGCTGCTGTGCAAAAGACGCGCTCTTAACACCTTCTACTTGCTAAAGCAGGACACAACATCCCCCCGCCCCCCGGCCACCACCACTGTCCAGTTTCCTGACATGGTGACGTTGCAGGTGAGCTTCCCCCTCTGGCAGGTGGGAACCCTCATACCACCTAGACCACGGCGACCCGAGGAGGATTAAGTAGGAAGTGGAACGTATGATGTTTAGAGCAGCGCCTCACACGTAGCAAGCGCTCCGTAAAATTCAGTGCTTTGATTTGTGAGTGGAGTCGTGATGCACTATTTCTATGTGGAAGATGCTGAGTGTCGGGTTGGGGGGGGACGGGGGAGTCAGGAGCCGTTTCAGTCACATTGATTCTGTTCCGTCCACACAGGGCATACTCACGGACAGTTTAACACATCATTCTTTGTTTTCTCGCGTTTTAATTTTTAGCTTTCATTGCTAAGTTATTTTTGTGTGCTGTGCTTCTGGGAAGGTGAGCCATGGAAAATGAACAGTGGTCAAAACAGGTATGGACTGTTGCAGAATAAGCCTTCCATTTGATCTAGAATGCATCTTCCTACTTTCAGGTGAAAAGTTATGTACAGTAACCAGCGAAGGGAAACCCCTCGGTGAGCCCCGGAAGAATGAGAGCGTTAACTATAAGGTAGAGTAGTGTTTCCAGGATTGGATATCTCAGACTTGGCATGCTTCTTCCCCGAGTCCCTTCCCCAGGTACAGGGACAGGCGTGACTCAGCTACTGAGCAATCAGATAAAACACAAAGGCTGCAGGGCGCCTGGGGGCCTCAGTCAGTAGAGCTCCCGACTTCAGCTCAGGTCATGATCTCACGGTCCGTGGGTTCGAGCCCCGTGTCGGGCTCCGTGCTGACAGCTCAGAGCCTGGAGCTACTTCGGATTCTGTGTCTCCCTCTCTCTCTGCCCCTCCCCTGTTTGTGCTCTCACTGCCTCTCAAAAATAAACAAACATTAAAAAATAAAAGGCAACAGACCCTTTTTGCCCTTCACTTATATGTGTAAAGGAGAAAGATCGAGGCGCTCCGGGAGCGCGTTTTTGCTCAGTCTAGATGAAATACGCCATGAGTTGGAATAAAGGTGGTGCGGGCAGGTGTCTGCTTCGCCCTCATCCCCATCAGCCGGGAGGCGGGCGGACTCCAGAGTGGTGCCTGGAGGGCATTTTGGTCTTGTCCGGAGACTGCAGCCGCCCACAGCAGCGGCACAAAGCCTGCCCCTGGTCCGGGCCTCAGGGACACCGTCTGCGCTTTGGGACTCCTTAGGATCCCCTCCCCATCACGGGCAAGTTCAAGACTCCCTGGACATCCCTAGTGCCCAGAAGCCAGCGCCCCGGACAACATGAGGCTTCACGGGGCTTGGAGGCAAAAGCCTTTTCCGGTCACCAGCGGGGCACCGGACGGTCCGACTAGGGAGCTCTCATCTGGCGTGGCCTGGACGGTGCTGGAACCCGGTGCCCCTGTGGCTCTGACTTGCACAGGGACCCAGACATGAGCTTGTTTGATTTTTGTGCTGGTGGGTCATAGGTGATGAGTGTCATAGGTGATGAGTTCACGCTGGCTTACAGTGGGTCTTGGGAAGATGCCCAGCATCCTGTAGCAGATTGCTGATCATAACAACATAGTCATAGATTTAGAAATAGCAGTGAAAATCAGTGATGTGAATGTTGTTTTAGGATCGAGGGAAGAAGTGAGCAGCCCGATGTCCGTTCCCAATGGCAGGAGCCTGTGGCTACTTGGAATCGTCCTCAGAAAGTGAGCTTTGGAAACCATACATGGGGCGCCTGGGGGGCTCAGTCCGTTGAGCGTCTGACTTTGGCTCAGGTCAGTTTATGGGTTCAGCCCCGCGTCGGGCTCTGTGCTGGCAGCTCAGAGCCTGGAGCTGCTTCAGGTTCTGTGTCTCCCTCTCTCTCAGCCCCTCCCCCGCTCGCGCTCTGTCTCTCTCTCTCTCTCAAAAATAAACGTAAAAAAATTCTAAATAAAAAAGAAAGAAAATCATACACCAAGCAGTGGTGGGCCGTGTCTGGTCCCCCCTGGGGACTACGTGCCTGGTCCTTCCCTCCCGCAGATGTGGCCAGGGCTGCCCACTTCTTCCTGGGTCCCCGGGGCTTCCCCAGCTCCCCCCAGCCTTTTGTGCTCCCTCCACTTTGCGGGGACCCCTTCCCATGTCCAGGTCCCATCCACACCTGCCCACACACCCCTGCCCCTTTTCCATCACTCGCGGCCCCCGAAGCAGACAGCGCCCTGGTTCCCAGCGCGTCCATGGAACAGAAAAGTAACGCGAGCGTGGCAAAATGCACGCTAGAGCTCCTTCAGGGTGCTGGTAAAAGCACCTTCCTTCTCAAAGGCAAAGCCATTTGCGCCCCCCCCCCCCATATCTCCTGGAGGGAAGCGGACACACGAGGGTTGCCTTTCCCCAGTGGCCAGCTCTCCTCTGATCGCACCTTGTTAGGAACAAAACGATTTCATGCATACATCCAGTTAGCATAATGGAGACGGTCGCTGGGTAAAATACCAGCGTGAAGACCAGTGGGTAGTCCCAGGAGAAACAGAAAGAAGCATTTCAACAGCTGCTCTTAAGTCTCAGCCGCGGGGCCGTCACCCCATCACCGGGACGCAGGCGAGCGCCCAGCCCCTCCCGCAGCCGGAGCCCATGCGGCAATGAAGGAGTGCGCACTTGGGAAGAGGTGCTTCTCCGCTGACCAGTGATACGCGGCTCCCTCACTGGGCTTCTGGAATGTTCCATTACAGGGCTATGCCGCTGCGGGAGGCTTTATTCTCTGTGCCTTTTATCCAGGAATGACCTCATTCTATTTAATGCGACAGAAGTTGCTTGAGCTCATGGTTGCCATAAAGATTTCGACATTTTTCATATTCGTTTTTATCATGAGTATGTTTTTCAGTGCAGAGTTGAAGACTGCAATGGAGAAACCAGAAATGATTCATGAGGCAAGCACGAGATGCGCATTTTATGCGCAAGGCCTGGGCGGCCCCCTCTGTGCGCAGTTGGCCCTGTGTGCCGAAACATGTCCAGTCGCCGGCGGCGCGTGGGGTGCGGGCTCTCTGCTATGACCAAGGACGTCTCTGGACTGCAGAATATTAAGCTGCGCGAGCTTTGCCTTTCTAGCTGGCAGCCGTCTTCTCTCTCCTCAAGGCCATTCTCGCAGTCTGTGGGGTTAAATTCATCCAGAAGCAGACAAAAAAACCCCAAATAGTCATTGATTGTAGTTTTGCCTCAAAGTGTTCAGCAGGCACAGCAATTTGTCACCTGTGTCGTAAAAGCCATCCACGGAGTCCTCTGGTCTTTCTGTCCACCCCTTTTAATTTTCAATGTTTATTTTTTGAGAGAGAGAGAGAGAATAAGCAGGGGAGGGGCAGAGAGAAAGGGAGACACAGAGTCCAAAGCAGGCTCCAGGCTCTGAGCTGTCAGCACAGAACCTGATGTGGGGCTTGAACCCGCAGATCACGAGATCATGATCTGAGCAGAAGTTGGACGCTCAACCGACTGAACCACCCAGGTGCCCCTTAAACATAGTTTTTAATGTTTATTTATTTTTCAGAGAGAGACGGAGTGAGAGTGGGGGAAGGGCCGAGAGAGAGGGAGACACAGAATTTGAAACAAGTTCCAGGCTCTGAGCTGTCAGCACCGAGCCCGACGTGGGGCTCCAACTCAGGAACTACGAGATCATGACCTGAGCCGAAGTCGGATGCTCAATGGACTGAGCCCCCCAGGCGCCCCTCCGTCCACCCCTCTTAATGAGCTCGCATCTTCCAGGGGCTGCAGAAGTGGCCCGCCGACCTGGTGCTCTGGCTAAGGCCCTCCCCTGCTCTAAAACGTTAACGCCTCGCAGCGCCCTCTGTTGGGGGCACGGAGCCTGTTGCCATGTATTTTGTTGTGGTCTCTTTTCTTCTCTCCGCCATAAACACCTTTAAATCCACAGCGCTGGAAAGCGAGTGAAGGCCCATCAATTGTTGTGCGAATGAACAAGGGAGCGAGTGAAGAATTGCACGGGGTGGGGGTTTGGGCTTCCCTTCACCCCTGGTGGGACTCAGGGGTGACACCTTCCTGGAAGCCAGGATGAGGCCGACCTCGTCCGGAGCTGGCTTCTGTCTCCTTTCTCCAAAAGGAAGAAGCGAGTGAGCAGTCTGGTGCCAGTTCCAAGATCTCCGTCCATCACAGCCGTTGGGAGAGACTGTCAGTCTACCCGCCCATTTCAACCGCAGGGCTCCTGGAAATCCGTTTGTCACGGGGCACGTTCAATCCTCAAGTGAAAAATACATGGGAAAGAGCCCGTAGTTCTGTAGTTTGCTCTCAGCTCCATGAGAGAGAGCATCTGGTTCACGGCGGCTGAAGCAACATGGGTTGTTCTCTCTTCCCGTAAAGATGTCCAGAGGTGGGCAGTTCTCCCGTGGGGGAATTCTGCAGCAAAATCGTGACATCCAGAGGCTTTCTCGGTCTTTTCCGTCCAACCATGTCCGTGAACCAACTCCCTCATGACCTCAGTGTGGCTGCAGAGTCTCAGACATCACCAGTTCACACAGCTCTCTCGGCGAGAGGAGACATCGTGCTCACACATCTGGTTTCGACCAGGGAAGACAATCTTTCTCACGGTATGAAAATTACCCTGAGCTCCCCTTCCCCCCATGATTCTCGTTGGTTATCTTATTGTATAATTTGTAGCCTGAGCAACAGTGTTGTGATCGACATCTCTGTATTCCCGCACAGAATAAATACTTGTAAAATTAAAAAAAGATACATATTTTGTTGGACTATATGACTGAGTGAGCTGTAGTGGTTTTTAAAAATGAGAGAATGAGACAAGTTGTGGTCATTTTGGTTTGTGAGGATGGATGCTTCCTCCTCTTTAGATGGGATCCAGGGTTACGGGAGGAAAGAAGCAAACAAGAGCCTTACCCCAAGTGACATCAATAAGTGACAGGCTTAGCTGTCGGTGTCCTGGGCCCTTTCCTCCCTGTGCCACCAGCAGCACGGACGGGGCTCGCCCTCCAGTGGTTTCCGTCTGTGTCACTGGGAAGCAGAGGGAGGGAGCTCCATCTTCATGGCCAGAAACCACCTTGCTGAGCCTGCCTCAACCTCCCCACTGGACCGGGCACGGACTGGCCAGCTCAGTGGTCCTTCCCGGAAAGGGCGCCTTGAGCTAGAGACACTCTAGCGCATGGAAGACTAGCAGAGCCCTGAGATACATTTGTTCAGAGCTACCCACTTTGTCTTGTTATAATCCCAGCGCTAGAGGCAGGGAAGCCCCAAGGCGCTGTCTTGTTCGGAAATCCAAAGACCCCTTCCTGGGGTTGCCATCCACGCGGGTTCGAGAACCCTGGAAACATTTCAGCGTCTGAGAAGCGAGGGCTGTCTGTTGGCCTGGGGCCCATCGCTTGTTGCGCGGCTGGGGCACGGGCCGTGGCAGTGGCGAGTCTGGGCGCCCAGCTTCTGGGGACCGTGTCAGTCGCCCGCGAGGGTGGGTGTGACTTCCAGGAGCGCGGGCACCAGGTTTAACGTTAAGGCTGACAGTGTGCAGTGCGCAGGCCCTGTGAGGACTTGGGAGCCAGGAGACGAGGGAGGGCAGGGGCCCCGAGCCCAGATGTTCCCTGGGGCCTGCCCGCGGGGGTGGCCGTCCGCACTTAGACTGCCACGGCCGCCGGCCGCCCGAGTTCTCGTGGAGGCCGAGGGAGCCAGTCGGAGAAGACCGGCCGCACACACGGGACGTTCTCTGCTGCACCGGGGCCTCTCCCCCCTGCCCCCCGGACAGAGGCCTCTGTGCGCTGGGCTCCCGCTCCTCCCAGCCTCCAGGCCTCCGGAGGGCAGATCGGCCGGCGGGGAGAGGGCCGGCTCGCTCGCCCGCCCCGCGGTCGTGTCTGCAAGGCGCTCTCGGCCAGTCCTGACCTGTGGCGGGGGGAGGTGCAGAGGGGACCTCTGCTATAGCACTGAGCACACACGGTTGCCTGGAGACTGAAATCATCACTTAGATACAATCCTGCCCATGTTCCACTCCGGAGGCACCTGCTGCGGGGGGGCGGGGGGAGGGCGACAGTGAGGCGAAGCGGTTCTCCTGGGTTGGTCTCCGTTTGCTCGGGGGGTGGGGGGGGGGCTCAGGGCCCAGGCATCCCCCTCGTGTGGGACTCTGGGCTCAGAGGAGGAGTGCGCTTCCTCCCCAGCAAAAGCTACACATTAGGTGCCTCATGTCTGCCTTGAGGGATCTTCAAAAGTGGGTTGTTTTTTTTAATATTTTTATTTATTTCTAGGAGAGAGAGAGAGAGGGAGAGACAGCGTGAGCAGGGGAGGGTCAGAGAGAGAGGGAATCACAGACCGAAACAGGCTCCAGGCTCTGAGCTGGCAGTCAGCACAGAGCCCTATGCGGGGCTCGAACCCACGAACCGCGAGATCATGACCTAAGCGAAAGTCGGACGCTTAACCGACTAAGCCACCCAGGCGCCCCTCAAAAGTGGGTTTTTAACAGTGGCTTCTCTTTTTGTACCTTATGCATCCTGAGCACTAAGATTCAACTCCATTCACCTTTAGTGACACTTTCTAGAAGTTAATATATTTTTAAGACCTCAGGAGGTGATGCCGTGTCACGGAAGCTGATGTGTGTGGGAGCTTCGGGGTTCCAGCGGTGGGTGGAAGGGACATTCACAGGGACCCGTGGAGAGAGGGACACGCCCGCATCCGGTCTTGGACAGGTGCCTTAGAGAACCCGGAGGCAGACAAAGCCACCCGCTGCTTAGGCACAA